GGGGGGTCGGCGGACTAGGCCGCTTGTCCCACATAGCTTATATCACATGGCTCGCGCCACATCGGTATAGTTTCAGCCCCGTGCGCGCCAGGAGATCCCACTACTACAGACTGTACCGTATCCTGCACAGTCCCCCTGCGGACTGAATTGGGTCCAATGCAGATCCGCTACAGACTGTGTAGGACCGACGCTGTACCATCCCTTCATGGACTGCACAGGATCCTGTACAGTCCCCCACGGGCTACTGTACAGGATCCTGTCCCCCATCGAACTGTATAGGATCCTCGCATGTGCCCTATGGAGCGTAGACGTAGATGGTCCTACGCAGTCAGTCCGTGTAGGGATTGTAGAGGGTCTTCTACCATTCCCCCCAGCTGACTGCATGGGATCCCGTACAGCTCCACCATGGACTGTATGGAATCCTACGCAGCCCCCCCACGATTGAATGGGATCCGATGCAGATCCGCTACGGAGTGTATAGGACCCTGTACAATCCCTCATTGGACTGTATAGGATCCTGTACAGCCCCCTTTACGGATTACTGTATAGGGTAAGTCTACAATCTGGGATTGAAATTTGCATGCGTTTCTATTTTATCGCTGGCAATCCATATAAAATCATGCCACCCCTGCGAAACAGGCATCGACCCCCTGTCACGTCATGGAGTGCACACGCCCGCGAGCCCGTTTGTTTTACGATCCCATGTTCCAAGGTTCTTTTGCAACGAGTAGATGCCACAGAGCTAACAGCCGCGCACACATGTCGAGAACTCATCAACACACATTCGCACTGTAAGCAGTTCAAAGCACGCACATTTGCAGCACATTGCCCCTTCGATGGGAATTCCTTACATGTTCTGCACGCGCGAACGTACTGAAGTCATCGGAAATCAATATGACGTTCATTTGTTCGTCCAGAACCCGCATGCTCATTTCATTTCACCACGTGGCGCGTCCGCGTTGATCCCGCATGCGCCCTGTGCATCAATCCTCCTCAACTAAAACGATGCGGACCAGAACAGCGCGCCGCCACCCGCGCGTGTCGAAACCAGTCCTTCACCAGTGGCTCGCGAAGTATTGTCAGATCGATCTGTTGAATTACGCGACCGAGGAACATCACATACTTGCATTCTTTCTGGAGTGGTAGCAGCTGAAGTGAACCATGCGAAATTGACGCAGGTAACCGTTGCCTCGCCGATACCGTTGGCGACGCCGGTCAACAGGAGAGGGGGTCACCGAGGGCCCTCTTCCAGGGCGGCAACAGGCACAGCGGTCACGCAGGGCACGGAGCGCTATCTTCGGCGAAGAGCCTCCGACAGCGCCCAGCTCGCAAGCATCACACATTCCCTTGGACGGAGAGTCTCCTGGAGTGTTCTTCGATGGAGAATCTCCGAGCGGCGGCGCTCCCACGACCTCACGCCGCCGCCAAGATCTAGTGGCGCTCTCGAGCGAGAGCCTCGATCTCCCGCGTCGCCGTGGCCATGCCCCCGTCAAACTTCCAGAGAGTTTTCAGCACAGATGGAGGTGGGCCTTTCTGCAAGACCTCCCTTGGCGGCGGCCGAAGCAAGAGCAGATCGTCCATGCAAGTAGCTCTGCTGAGCATCGCGTACAGGTGCAGCCACCAGCTCTTCGCTCTTTCCTCCGTTCTGTCACGCTCGTGTCTTGCGCGCAGTCAATGGTCACACAGGTGCGAATCGTCTGTCCCTACGGTGCGGTGGACGTCAGGAAGCGCGCGTGCGTGAGCGCGTATCCATACCTTTTAACCCAGTACACTACGTTGGCGTTTCGCCACTTGAGTCACGGATAAGAGGCCGCGCTGATGGACCACACTCTGCGCACCCCAGTGCCACTCTTGCCACGCCCTGCGAGCGTGTCACGGATAGAGGCCGCGCTGAGGGACCAGGACCACCCTCTGCGCAGCCTTCGTGGTGTCGAGAAAACGCAACTCCTGCCACGACTTGCGAGCGTGTCACGATAAAGGCCGCACTGAGTGACCAACTTCTGCGCACCCCTTGTTGTGTTGAGAAACTGCCACTTCTGCCACGCCCTGCGAGCGTGTCACAGATAGCGGCCGCGTTGAGGGACCACCCTCTCCGCACCCTTCGTGGTGTCGAGAAGGTGCGACTCTTTCCATGCACTGCGGGTCCTACACGTATGTTTTGTGTATGGCGTGTCATGTGTATGTGTTTGATACGTGTGCGGCCGTATCTGGACGTGTGTCTCATGTGGGTGCACAGCATGTGTCATGTGTATGATGCGTGTGCGGATGTATCTGGACTTGTGTATCACGTGGGTGCCCAGTATACGTCGCATGCGACGTGGGAGCGCGATGCAGCGAACACGCCAGGCGTGCACAGGCATTGTTAGTGTGTGTGTGTGTGTGCGTGCGTGCGTGCGTGCGTGCGTGCGTGCGTGTGTGTGTGTGTGTGTGTGTGTGTGTGTGTGTGTGTGTGTGTGTGTGTTTGTGCGCGTACGTGTGCGAGTGTGTGCATGCGTGCGGCTGTACGTCGACGCGTGTCTCATGTACGCGTCGTGCATGTGTTGCGCGTGGGTGAGGAGGGAGGGGGGTGCAGAGGGGGGGCGGGTGTGTGTGTGTGTGTGTGTGTGTGTGTGTGAACGCGGGTGCGACTCGGGTGGGAAGAAAACAAAAACCCCATTAAGCATGTGGGGGAAACACGTAAAACCAGTTCAATTCAATATTTGCCAGGCTTTTTTTTGGAATTTCTGCGCGCACGTCCTTATCACCCTCACCAGCGCCATAACGCCACTGCTCTTATCATCATCGCCAATCGCGGCCGTTGCCGCCATCATCGTCACAACCACTTCCATCGCCGGCACATGGACATCATTAGTGTCGCCGACGTTGTCAGCATCGGCGTCGTCATCCGGCTTGCCGTCGTCATCGTCATCATCGCCACTACCATTGCTATTATCATTATCGTTGCCGCCGTTGCCGGCGTCACCGTGATACCGTGCCCGCCAGAGCCACCGACCCGCACAGGGCAGCCTTCGAGACGCGGCGGGGGGGGTCCCACCAGTGAGTGCCCTCGCGGCCGCATCGGTTGTGCCCACCCAGCTGGTCGCTCTGCGCACGAACGCGCGCGCCTGCGAGGCCGTGGGAACGAGCTGGCAAGCTCCAGCCGGGAACTGCAATCGTGGCCGAGTGGGCGTTGCCCAGCCAGTTGCGGAGGGGCGGGCGGGAATCTATTTCACGAGCTGTGGGGCTGACGACTCCAAGACGGTCGAAGAAGTCAGCCACACATCACAGGTCACACTACGTAATTGACGCTGCAGCCGTGCAACATCTCAGCATTTGTGGTCCGAGCTGGCAGGCAGTTGAAAGCTCGGCTCGGCACGGCACGCGGGCACGGCGCGGTACGGCCTTGCATCACGCATGTCATGCTCAAAATTGGGCACCGCATGGCGCGGCACGGCGTGCTGGCTTTGCGCGGCACCGCATGGCAGTCTGCGCATTAGCAAAACCAGCACGGCACGCGGGCACGACAGGGCTCATGCACGGTACGGCACGGTACGGCACGGTTTTAATTCCACGCTCCCGAAACCAATCATGGCACGACACGCGGGCACGCCACGGCAGCACAATGTTCAAAGGTTCTTGAAACCAAGCGCTGCACGGCACGCGGGCGTGGCACGGCACGGCACGGCGTGACCACGAGTGTGCTTGCATTCTCGAGGCCAGGCGTGGCACGGCACGGCACGCGGGCACAGCAGGGCGCACGGCACGGCTACTGGCAGCAATGGTTTCGCACTCCGGGAGCCGAAGCCAGGCATTGGCATGGCACGGCACGCGGGCATTGCGCAGCCATGCGCGCGAGCACTGCACGGCATTCCTCCTACATTTGTGGAAGCCAGAGTTACCTCTGCTACCCCCACAGCATCAGCCGTTCAGGGAATGCACGACTGAGCACCGCGCGCAGTTGGAAAGCCGACGCGCCTGTCACCGATGATGCCCCGCAGCCCTCCCGAGCGCGCCGCTGCCGCCCCGCGGGCAACTTGTGTGTGTGTGTGCACCGTGCCGCGTTGGCGCCTCCGGAGGCGTCGTCGATCCCCGACGCCGGGCAAGTCGCGGTGGCAGCGCTGCTCGGCCCCTGGGGCCGACGAAGACAGGTGCCCCTTGTCTCGTCGGAGCGGGGTCCGAAGGGAGGCCGCCGCGCTCGTGCTTCGCCGAGCCCGCGGGCCTGCGGAGGCCTGGAACGGGCAGGGAGGCGGAGGGCGGCCTCCCTCCGGGCCTGTCGCCGGCAGGGGCCCTGAGCTCTACGAGGCCATCCAGAGGTTGCGCGAGGCGGGCGAGCTCCGGAGCGCGGGCGAGTACGCGGCCGTTCTCAAGGCGGGGGGGCGGGGTGCTCGGCGGACGGGGACGTCTCTAGCTCTCCGAGGGAGGGGGAGGCTGAGGCAGAGAATGGCTCTGGCACTGGCTCCGTGTCCCGAGCCCCACCCCACATCGCTCGGCGGGATCCTGCCGTGGCCACAGTGGCTTAGAGAAAACTGCCAAGGATGAGCGCCACGCGTGCAACACACCGCGCGCACGATGCACTATGCACGCACACACGCGCGCCGAGCGCACGACACGCTCGGCGGACAGGGACGAGGGAGGGGGGGAGGAGGGAGAGGAGGTTGATGATGAGGAGGAGGAGGAGGAGAAGGAGGAAGAGGAGGAGGAGGAGGAGCAGGAGGAGAAGAAGGAGGATGAGGAGGGAGCTCAAGGGTGTGCGCGGTTCGGTCGGTTCGGCTATGTCGCAATGGGTTGTGTTCGGTCGGTGCGGTTCGGTCGGTTGCTGTGTCGTTGCTGCGCCGCTGCGTGCGTCTAGGTTGCGTCTTGTAGAATCGGTTCGGTCGGTTTCGGTTTTTCTGTCAGTTAAGCTGGTTTTCGGTTGTACTGTCGCCGCGGACGGCCTTGGAGCTGGAGGGGCGCGAGGAGGAGGAGGACGGGGAGGGAGTATTCGATTCGAGCAAGCCGATCGCGGCTTCAATGCTTCGCCCGTGAGAGTGAGAGACCTGGACCTCCCCCGACGCAGTGCCAGTCTTATTTCGACGAAGAGGACCCTCTTCACCCCTATCTGTTCCTCAGCATTACCGCAGCTCCGTTCTGTTGGCCGAAGGTGCGAGCTCTGCCGCGGCCCGATACCCATAAGGGGTCTGTAGGTGAGATTGGCGCAGTGCCTGTCGGGCCAGCGCGTCGGTGATCTGTAGCTCTGCACATGCCCAGTGGCGGGCCCAGGCATACGAAAGCCAAGGAGTTCTGCATAGCCTTGGCCCGCTCTACTGGCCACACACGCGCTTGTGCAGAGGCCGTTAAGCCCTCTCTGCTTTTCGAGAGGCAAGCGACGGGCCTGCTGAACTACCCTGAACCAACACCGGGGGCTGCTTGTAGTTTGCTGACATATGCTTGATTGACTGAGTTTGCGGTGAAAGTGTGATGCGCATGCAATACATGTGGCAGTCGCACACGCGGGCGTGCAAACCATGCGGGGCACTTCGATGATAGACAAGAGTCTTTGCTGAAACACTTGAGCAGGACAGGTGTGGCACTGATAAGGTCGCTTCACGATACTTGGTGAAGCAGACGGAGGCTCATCACTGCGAACCTTGACTTGTTCGAGTACGGTGTTGTTGCTATATTTACCTAACAGCGAAGACTGATAGGTTTCTAGTGGTGTCAAAAGAGAGCAGCAGATGACTCCACAGGGGGGTCCGGGCGGGACCCGGGGCGGCTGCCGTCGAAGCCCAAATCGCTTGGGACATCCTCGCAAAATCGCTCTTGGCGCTGCTAGAATTCCATTCCCGGCGTACATTTTGGATGCCCGGAGCCAACTGTAGGCCACTTCGTGGTCTTCGAGTTCCCAGAACTCCATTCCCGGCGTACATTTTTTGGATGCCTGAGCCCAGCGTCCTGTAGGCCACCTTCGTTGGTCTTCGAAGTTTCCTAGAAACTTCCATCCCGGCGTACAATTTTTTTGGATGCCCGGAAGCCAACTGTTAGGCCCACTTCGTGCTCTTCGACTTCCCAGAACTCCATTCCCGGGCCACATTTTTGATGCTCGGAGCCAACTGTAGGCCACTTCGTGCTCTTCGACTTCCCAGAACTCCATTCCCGGGCTACATTTTGAATGCCCGGAGCCAACTGAGGCAGGCTGAGGCTGAGGCTGAGGCAGGCTGAGGCTGAGGCAGGCTGAGGCTGAGGCTGAGGCTGAGGCTGATGCAGGCTGAGGCTGAGGCAGGCGCCCGCCTGAGAGCTGGAGGCAGGCGGATGGCGCCTGAGGCTGGCTGAGGCTGAGGCTGAGGCTGATGCAGGCTGAGGCTGAGGCAGGCTGAGGGCAGACGCTGGGCATTAGCAGATGCAGGAGGCAGGCTTTGAGCTGAGGCTTGAATGCAAGTCTGAGGCGGTCTGAGGCTGAGGCTGGTTGAGGCTGAAGCCAGACGGGCAGGCTGAGGCTGAGGCTGAGGCAGGCTGAGGCTGAGGCTGAGGCAGGCTGATGCTGAGGCAGGCTGAGGCTGAGGCTGAGGCTGAGGCTGATGCAGGCTGAGGCTGAGGCAGGCTGAGGCTGAGGCCGAGGCTGAAGGCAGACTGAGGCTGAGGCTGAAGCAGACTGAGGCTGAGGCTGAGGCAGGCTGAGGCTGAGAGGCTGAGGCAGGCTGAGGCTGAGGCTGAGGCTGAGGCAGGCTGATGCTGAGGCAGGCTTAGGCTGAGGCTGAGGCTGATGCAGGCTGAGGCTGAGGCAGGCTGAGGCTGAGGCCGAGGCTGAAGGCAGACTGAGGCTGAGGCTGAAGCAGACTGAGGCTGAGGCTGAGGCAGGCTGAGGCTGAGGCTGAGGCAGGCTGATGCCGAGGCAGGCAGGCTGAGGCTGAGGCAGGCTGAGGCTGAGGCCGAGGCTGAAGGCAGACTGAGGCTGAGGCTGAAGCAGGCTGAGGCTGAGGCAGAGGCAGGCTGAGGCTGAGGCTGAGGCAGGCTGATGCTGAGGCAGGCTGAGGCTGAGGCTGAGGCTGATGCAGGCTGAGGCTGAGGCAGGCTGAGGCTGAGGCCGAGGCTGAAGGCAGACTGAGGCTGAGTCTGAAGCAGGCTGAGGCTGAGGCCGAGGCAGGCTGATGCTGAGGCTGAGGCAGGCTGATGCTGAGGAAAAGGTTGAGGCTGAGGCTGAGGCAGGCTGAGGCTGAGGCTGAGGCAGGCTGTGGCTGAGGCTGAGGCAGGCTGATGCGGAGGCAGGCTGAGGCTGAGGCTGAGGCTGAGGCTGAGGCTGAGGCTGATGCAGGCTGAGGCTGAGGCAGGCTGAGGCTGAGGCTGAGGCTGAAGGCAGACTGAGGCTGAGGCTGAGGCTGAAGCAGGCTGAGGCTGGCTCAGGCTGAGGCTGAGGCTGAGGCAGGCTGATACTGAGGCAGGCTGAGGCTGTGACTGTGACTGCCGTTGCCACTGCGACTGTCATCGCGAATGCGACTGCGACTGCGAGAACAGGAGAATTCTACAACTGGATTCTCATATGGATCTTACGGGGAATGTTTCCATATATGCTTCTACACATCGCTGTTAGGTTGCTTTGCCAGGATAATTTTTGTTTGCTCTGGCCACCGCTTGCACAGCGCCTCCCACGGTTGGACATTGTCGGGTCTGCCAGCGGCTCTGTGAGTCGTGAAGTCCGGTGCGGCCATACCAGGCCCACCAAATATTGCGAAAACCATGGGCATTCATGATTGGTGCTTGCCTGCAGCACAGCGAGATGGCTCGTTGTGGCTCCGCCTCGACCAGGACTGCCGAAACAGAATGGCACTTGGGAAGGAGAATCTTGGATGAGGAGGAGGAGGACGACGACGACCACGTGGAGGAGGACGACGTTGAGGACGACGAAGAGGACTATCAGGAAGATGAGGGCAAGGGCGGCGACGAGGTCGTGAGGGCGAGAAGGGAAGCATGAGGACGACGACAGCGAGGAGGGCGAGAAAGGGAAGGAACCCTCTTATGGGCGAGCACCGCTGATTGCTGACGAAGAGCACAGAAGAGCAAGATAACGAGTAGGAGGAGAAGTATAGTATAGGAGCTCCTCCAACCTTTCTGCCAGCATCCTCTCACCCATCTCCTTTACCGATCCTCCTCCTCCCTCCTCTAACTCTGGTCCTGATTGGGAGCGCTTCCCATTCTCCTGCACAGCGGTGTGGCCTTGTCCAGGCGGCTGTGTGGCACGCGAAATGTTCAGCAGAACATCGCAGGCCAATTTCGATGAGGGATATCCGTAAGGGCTTCGCCCCCATGCCGCTGGCCCCCCCCCCCCTCTCTTAGAATCGCACTTGCAAGAGCTGTGTTGGGATGTCTGGACGCTGACGTGAAGCAATGTCGGGACTTCACGCGAGGGCCAATGTTAAGTTACTATGGTTTGTGGCTTCGGTGGCGCGAATATTAAGTACTTTTCGATAGGTTATAACTTCGTGGACGCGAATCTAGATTCATTTGCGAGGGTCTGTAGCCTGTAATGTATGGAGGTTTATGGCCTCGGGGGCGCGAATCTCTTGTACCTTGCAAGGGTTTGTGGCCTCGGGGACGCAAGCCTGATGTAGTTTACGACGGTTGATTGCCCTTGGAACGCGAATATTGTATGATTTTGAAGGTGTATGGCCTCGGGGATGCGAGTATTCCGTAATGTACGAGGTACGAGGGTGCATGGCCTCGGGTACGCGAACATCGAATACTTTACGACGCTTGATGGTTTCGGGAACGCAGATCTTGAGTGTGTTACGAGGGTTTTTAGTTTCGGTGACGCGACTATAGTCTAATTTACGATGATTTATGGCCTCGGGGTCGCAGCTGTGGTTCGATGTATGAAGATTTATGGTTTCGGGGACGCAACATTGTCGAAGGTTTTTGGCTTCGGGGGCGCGAGTATCCAGTAATTTGCAAGATGTATGGTTTCGGGGGCGCGAATCTTGTTTAATTTACGCTGGATTATGGCTTCGGGGACGCGAATACCGCGTAATTTACAACGGATTATGGCTTCGGTGGCGCGATTATTCGGTAACTTACGAAGGTGAATGTCTTGGGAGCACGAATATTGCATAATTTGCGATGGATATGGCTTCGTGGACGCAAGTATTGTGTAATTGTCGAGGGCTGTGGCTTCTGGAACGCGAACATTAGTTAATTTCCGAAGGTTTATGGCCTCGGGGACGCGAACATTCCGTAATGTATTATGGATTATGGATTCGGTGACGCGAATCTCAAGTACTGTTACATGTCCCACGACCCCCGGGAATTCAGACAAGCAACCAAAACTAGTGCCAAGCAATGCCGAGCGACGCCAGGCCTAACCCCGCAATACAGAGCAACGATTCCAAGCAATGCCAGGCAGTGCAACGCCATGCCTAGCAACTAAAGGCAATGCAACGCAGTGCCAAGCAATGCACCAAGCAAAGCCAAGCAACGCCGAGCAAAGCCAGGCAATGCCCATCCACGATCCAAGCGACGCCAAGCAACGACTTTACGGCATACCAATCAATGCAACGCAATGTCAAGCAATGCAGCGCAAGTCCAGGCAATGCCAAGCAGCCCCAAGCAACGACAGGCAGGGACAAACAACGCCAATCAATGCGAAGCAATGCCAAGCAATGCCAAGCAACACCAATCAACGATTTCAAGCAGTTGCAAGCAAGCAGCGCCAAGCAACAACTCTAATACTCGCAACCAATGCAAAGCAGTACCAAAGCAATGGCTAGCAATGCCAAGCAATGCAATCAAATGCCACGCAATGCCAAGCAACGCTAAGCAACGACAAGCAACGCAATGCAGTGCCAAGCAAATCCCTGGCAACGACAAGCAACGTCACACAATGTCAAGCAATGCCGAGCAATGCCAAGCAATTCCGAGCACCGCCACGCAATGCAAGGCAACGCCAATCAGCGATTCCAGGCAATGCAACGAACCGACAAGGAACGGCTACAACAATTACAGTTAGTGCAATGCAGTGCCAAGCAAAGCCCAGCGACCCAGAGAATACAGCGCAATGTTAAGTAGCGGTAAGCAACGACTACCACACCTACAATTAGCGCAAGTCAGTACCAAGCAATGTCCAGCAACTCAAAGTAATGTAACGGAACGCCTAGCAATTCCAAGAAACGCCAAGTAACGACAAGCGACGCACCGCAGTGCGAAGCAATGTTGAGCAACGCCAAGCAGCGTAAGGCAATGTCAAGCAATGCCAAGCAATGCCAAGCCACGCCAAGTAACGGCAAGCAGCGCCAAGCAATGCCAAGGAACGCCAAGCAATGCAATGCACCGCCAAGCAACGCCGAGCAATGCCACGCAATGCAAGGGAGCGCCAATACACGATGTCAAGCAATGCCAAGCAACGCCATACAACGATTCCAAGAATTACATCCAATGCAAAGCAGTGCCAAGCAGTACCCATCAACGCCAAGCAATGCAATTTCATGCCACGCAATGGCAAGCAACGCCAAGCAACGAGAAGCAACGCAATGTAGTGGCAAGCAAATTCTTGGCAATGCCAATCAAAATGAAAGTAATGCCAAACAACGCCAAGCAATGCCGAGCAATGCTAGACAACACCAAGCAGCGCCAAGCCATGCCAAGCAATGCCAAGCAGTGCTAAGCAATGTGACGCACTGCCAAGTAATGCCCAGCACGCAACTACGTATCCCAAGCACGGACAAGTGACGCTAAGCAGCCACTCCAAGCAATGACGAGCAACGCCAAGCACTGCCGAGCAGCGCTTTGAATTGCATTGCGCAGAACTGCTTGTGGATTGCTTTTATCGCGCTTGCTTCATTCGGAACATATTTCCCCAACACACGCCTCCGACGGCACGACGCTTTTCCCGACGTGGACCCCAAGACTTCTCGACATCCTCCTGGGGGCCAGGTGTCGTTCTGGGTCGTCTCTTGATGGTCCTTGGCCCGCGGGGGGGGGCTCCAGAGGCCTAAAGATGAAGGACTAGCCGTCTCGACTCTTGTTGTCGCGAGGGTCCTTTTTCGCCGTCTTGCTCTTCGAGTTCCCTCCTCCTCCTCCTCCTCCTCCTCCTCCTCCTCCTCCTCGTCCCCCCCTCCCTCAAGAATTTCCCTATCAGATTTGCTGGCTAGAATGTCGGCGGGGATGGAGCTGTGGCGACGAGTGCCTTCCGCGAAAGCCCTGCAACCAAGTCCTCGATCCTCGACCTTCCATCCTCGACCCTCCCCCTCCGAGTCCGAGAGGTAAGGCTTCGGACTGCCCACTCCTCCTCCTCCTCCTCCTCCTCCTCCTCCTCCTCCTCCTCCTCCTCCTCCTCCTCCTCCTCCTCAGGTGTCCCCAGATGGCCTTGCACAGGCCCCCCGAGGAGCCCGGGGGCGGCCTCGACGCCCCGACCCTGGCCTCGCCGGAGGCGGCGCCGAGCGCTGCTGCGGCCAGCCGGGACTGCTCGGGGCCACCTCTGCGCGCAGCCCGAGGCCTTACCGTGCCGGAGCGGGCGGGGGCGGAGGGGCTCGGCAGCCCTGAGACGGGGGTCAATGCAAACGGGGGTCGGCCAGAGCGCCCGATCTTGCGGGATCCTGCGGGGCCAGGGTCGCGTCGGCCCGGGCTTGGGTGCAGGATCCTGCAGGATCCTTCGCATGGACCCCGGCTTGGGCGCAGGATCCTGCAGGATCCTTCGCTCTGACCCGGGCTGTGGGTGCAGGATCGTGCAGGAGCTTGCAGGATTCTGCAAGGCCTGGCTGACCCGGGCCTGGACTGACCCGGGTCAGGAGATGCTTCCCGAGGGGCGGATGGGGCAGGCGAGGCACCTCGTGTGCCGCTCTCGCGCCCGAGCGCGCTGCCCCTCGCGCGGTACTTGTGCGACACGAGCCGTCCGCTTCGGCATCGGCCGGGTATGCAGGGCAGTTTTTAATACATTGGATGATTTTTCATGCATGACAAATTTATGAATCAATTTATGCAGGAACTAATCGTTGTTTCTAATGCTGAATCCCTGAATGTTTAATACATGATCCGCACGGGGAGCATGTATTAAAAACGGCACTGTAGCCAGGACCCCAGGTGGGGGGACCCGGTGAAGTCTGGGGGCTCTGGAGCCCCTGAGTTGGCCAGAATCACTGAAGCAGATCTGCCGTGACTAGTTTTTTTTCGGGTGGCGGCGGTTCTGGCTGGTGGAACGGGGCGGGGGGGGCGTCCCCCTGTACACATCACTAAACCAGGTCCCACTGAACCCAGTTCTGCGAACGCCCGAATCGGTTTCAGCCAGCCCTGTCCGCCGACGCGATTCTACTATGCCGGTGATCCGACTCGGCCCCCGATGCTCGCACGGCGCGTCTGTGTATCCATTGGCGCCGCCAGATGCCCTCGTGGTCTCGGAGCTCCTCGGTCCCCGGCGGGATGCCCAGGGAGTGCCAGACGAGGCCCCGAGACCCGGAACTTCTGCTGCCGATCCGATTCCCCGGGCTCGACGCCGACCGATCCTCTCGATCTCCGTCTCCCCTGCTCGGGCTTGCGCATGCCCTCCCGCCCAAGATTGTGCGGTCGACCGAGCGCTCTGGAGTCCCCGCCCCATCCGTTGGAATGTTTGGACGCCCTCTCCCTGGCGGTTGCGGATGTCTTGCCCCCATGGAGCTGCTTTTTTCCAGATTCAGGCAAGCTCACTTGCATGCCATCCCCCCGCACCCCACCTCCGCTGCCTTTTTAGCAGCGGTGGGCCGAAAAGGCGTGCAAGTGAGCCCCGATCTGCGTGAAGTCCAGATTCTCTCTCGGGCCTCGCCACGCCGTCCCCCCTTGGCCCGCGCTGCGCAGGGCCGTCACGCAAGGAAGCCTGCCAGAATCGAAAAGAAGTGCCCCCTTGCGATACCGTCGGGGCCCTGAAGAAGGAACCCTTTTCGTTGGGGAGGGGCTCCGCGTTCCTTAGTGCTTCACAGCTTGCCTCAGGCTCTCCTTACGTTTTCGACAGGAAATCGAAGGTAAACTTATGGAAACAAGGGGCCTCGTTCCTTATTTAGGGTTCCTTAGGTCAAGGCCCCGACTGTCGCCTCCCACCCCGGGCTCCGCGGGAGGCGATGGTCCACCGGAAGTCGGGCGGCTTCTCGGACGAGGCACCGCGGGCCTCCCCGCCGCTTTGGCTCCACCAGCGAGGAGACCTCCAGGGGGTGCCAGACCCCAGAGAGAGTGGTTTCCCGACCCTCCTGTGCTTGGGCACTCGAGTTGAATAGAGCATTGTGGGCTCCACCTCCTCCTCCTCCTCCTCCTCCTGCCTCCTCCGCCTCCTCATCCTCCCTCCTCTCCATCCTCATCCTCATCCTCCTCCTCCTCCTCCTCCTCCTCCTCCCCTCCTCCTCCTCCTCGCTCCTCCTCCTCCCCCTCCGTGCTTCCTCTTCGTCCTCACTCGATTCCTCCTGCCTCCTCCGCCTCCTCCTCCTCCTCCTCCTCCTGCTCCTCCTGCTCCTCCTGCTCCCCCCACCGCTTCCTCCTGCTCCTCCTGCCCTCCTCCTGCTCCTCCTGCTGCTCCTCCTCCTCCTCCTCCTCCTCCTCCTCCTCCTCCTTCTCCTCCTCCTCCTCCTCTCCTCCTTCTCTCCTGTTTCCTGTGCTCCCTTCTCCGCTTCTCTCGTGCCGTCTGCGGTCTGCGCAACTGTCGGCACTTTCGTGGGCTCCGGGGAGCCACAGCGGAGGTACGTCCTACGCGGACCACCTCGAGGCCTCGCCGCCCCCTGGGGGGCTTGCGATCTGCGCAATTGTCGGCACTTTCGTGGCTCCTGGGAGCCCACGGAGGTAGTCCCTACGCGGACCACCTCGAGACCTCGCCGCCCCTGGGGGGCTTGCGATCTGCGCAACTTGTCGGCACTTTGGTGGGCTCCTGGAGGCCCAGCGGAGGTACGTCCTACGCGGACCACCTCGAGTCCTCGCCGCCCCCTGGGGGGCTTGCGATCTGCGCAATTGTCGGCACTTTGGTGGGCTCCTGGGAGGCCCAGCGGAGATACGTCATACGCGGACCACCTCGAGACTTCGCCACCCCCTGGGGGGCTTGCGATCTGCGCAACAGTCGGCAATTTCGTGTGCTCCTGGGAGGCCCAGCAGAGGTACGTCATACGCAGACTACCTCGAGACCTCGCCGCCCCCTGGGGGGCTTGCGATCTGCTCAACAGTCGGCACTTTGGTGGGCTCCTGGGAGGCCCAGCGGAGGTACGTCATACGCGGACCACCTCGAGACCTCGCCGCCCCCTGGGGGGCTCGCGATCTGCGCAACAGTCGGCACTTTCGGCCCAGCGGAAGTACGTCATACGCGGACCACCTCGAGACCTCGCCGCCCCCTGGCGGGCTTGCGATCTGCGCAACAGTCGGCACTTTCGTGAGCTCCTGCGAGGCCCAGCGGAGGTACGTCATACGCGGACCACCTCGAGACCTCGCCGCCCCCTGGCGGGCTTGCGATCTGCGCAACAGTCGGCACTTTGGTGGGCTCCTGGGAGGCCCAGCGGAGGTACGTCCTACGGTGACACCCTCGAGACATCGGACAGAGCGTGTTGTACCGCTGATGGGGGAAACCGGGGGGGGGTCACTACCGGTTCGAACCCCTCCCCCCCCCCCTCCGGAAAACCGGGGTGGGTCACTACCGTTTCGAACCCCTCCCCCCCCCGTTCATATGAAAAGGGGGGGGGCACTACGGTTCGAACCCCCCCCCCTGAAAACCGGGGGGGTCACCGTTTTGAACCCCCTCCCCCCCCTCCTCGAAAACCGAGGGGGGGTGCGGACAGTGGTGGGGACGGTGGTGGTGGGGACAGTGATGAGGGGACAGCGGGACAGTGGTGGGGACAGTGGGACAGTGGTGGGGACGGTAGTGGTGGGGACAGTGGTGAGGACAATGGTGGGAACAGTGGGGACAGTGGACAGTGGTGGGGACAGTGGTGGTGGGGACAGTGGTGTGGGGACAGTGGGAATGAGGTGGAAACAGTGGGACAGTGGAGGGTACATGGTGGTGGGGACAGTGGTGAAGGCGGTGGCGAGGACGGCGGTGGGACAATGGGACAGAGGTACAGTGGGGACAGTGGTGGGGACAGTGGGGACAGTGGTGGGAACAGTGGGACAGCTCAGTGGGACAGCGGAGGAGTCAGTGGGACAGTGGGGACAGTGGGGATAGTCGGGCAGTGGTTGGGGCCGTGGAGAAAGTGGGGAGAGTGGAACCGTGGTGGGAACAGTGGTGGGGACAGTGGGGACAGTGCGACAGTGGTGGGGGCACTGTGGGGACAGTAGGGACGGTGGTGGAACCAGTGGGGACAGTGGTGGTGAGGACAGTGGTGCTGGGAACAACAGTGGGGGATGTGGTGCGGACGGTGGTAGGGACCGGGAGGGAGTCGTTTGCTGGCGTGAATGCAAGGGGTGGGGAGAGGTTCGACCGGTAGTGACCCCCCCTCCGTTTTTCGAGGCGGGGGGGGTCGAACCGGTGAACCCCCTTCGTTTTCGAGGGGAAGGGGAGGGGAGGGGTTTATAGGGGGGGGGGGGGGGGGACGGGGGAGGGGGCGGGGGGTGTCCAGCAGGGGGGGGGGGGATTTTCGGAGGGGGGGGGGGGGACCCCCGTAAAAAAAATGAACGCCCCAGGGGTCCGTTCCCGTTCCCGTTCCCGTTCCCGTTCCCGCTCTTTTTCCCGTTTTCTCGTCCTCTCTCTCGCCCTCTCTCTCTCTCTCTCTCGTCCTCTCGTTCTCTCGTCCTCTCTCTCTCTCTCGTCCTCTCTCTCTCTCGTCCTCTCTCTCTCTCTCGCCCTCTCTCTGTCTCTCCGTCCACCCTGAAGGGGGTCAAGAGGGAGGCTCCAGAAAGGCCGCGGACGCTCGGGGGCTTGTTGGGCTCTCCTGAGAGGCCTCTCGGGGGCCTCTTGGAAGCATGTTTCAGGTCTCTTGGGGCCCGTAGGGGTCTTCTTGGGGACGTCAGGGGGGGGACTTGGGGGTCTCCTGGGGCTCTGCAGGTCTCTGTCAGACGCCTACGGCGAATCATCGCCGCCCTTTGCTTTTTGGAAACGCCGATGCGGCCAAACGTGACGGCGAAGTGTGGCCCAGATGTTGGACCAGGTGTTCCCCCAGCCGTTGTTGAAACCCTTGGGGAAAACACTCGGGGGAGGAAGATGGGGGAGGAGCAGCATTGAGGGGGATGATGGTGATGATAACGGAGAGGCAGATGAGATGAGGAGGAGGGGGAGGAGGCCTCTTCGAGGCCTTTTGGGGCTTCCTGCGGGCTTTTGGAGGCCTCTTGGGGCCATCTGGAGTCCTTTTCGGGCAATCTTGGCCGTCTTGGGGGGCATCTTCGATCGCCTCGGGGGCCATGCAGGGCCGTCCTGGCAGTCTTCGACGGCATGCTGGCCGTCCTGGAGGCCACACTGGACCATGTCAGCATGCTTGAATGCCATCTCTTACGTGTCTTAGGCCATCTTGGAGGCAAACTTATCCGTCCAGGAGGCCATATTGGCCGTCGTGGAGGCAATCCCGAGCCTAGCCCAGCTCACCCAGCCAGAAGTTTGCCCACCCAGCCATGGTTCTGTTAATGCACTCGTGCATATCCAGCTGCCTGCGTAAATCCCCGCCACCGTGATGATGATGATGATGATGATGATGATGATGATGATGATGATGATGACGACGCTGACGATGACGATGACGATGATGATGACGATGATGACGACGACGACGATGACGAAGATGATGATGATGATGATGATGATGATGATGATGATGATGGTGGTGATGATGATGATGATGATGACGATGATGATGATGATGATGATGATGATGATGCTGATGCTGATGCTGATGATGATGATGATGATGATGATGCTGATGATGATGATGATGATGATGATGATGATGATGATGATGATGCTGATCGTCGGGACATCGTGGGAGGCCTCTCGGGGGCCTGTTGGAGGCAGTTGCGAGGCCTCCTGCATGCCGTCTGGGGGCCTCTTGGGAGCCGCTTGGGGCTTCGGGGGGCTTTGTGGGGGGCCTCTTGGGGACCAGTTGGGAGCCTCATGGGGCTTCTCGGAAGCCTCTTGGGGCCTCCTGGAGAAACCCCGCCAGACAGCACTTGGCATTCTAGCATGCCTCAACGTGCCAGGCGGCACGGTGGCGGATACAGCCCAGGGGCACCAGACCATTCCGTAGCCATTGTGGCTCAGGTTTTGACTGTGCAGTCCTTTTCTTTTAGAGGATACTTGCAAAGGGCAACTTGCGCGGACATTGTGCTGGGCTCTTTGATGGCAGTCGTGGACGCAAGCGCAGGTGATGGGCAGTCTCTAGGGCGCATGGAGTCCGAGAGCACAAATAATGTGAAACTCAAGATTTTCGATTTTGAGCAGAATACTGTGGATCCAGATGTTTCGCCGGAATGCACGACTTCTTGTCGCGCTCTGTTTATTGCAGAAGAAATTGCAGAGTTCAATGGGTGCCAAAACTTGTTCGGACGAGCGAGTGACCTCTGGAGGGATCGCCTTTTGGCTTGCAGGAGGACTTGGGCTGTAATTGGCGACGGTGATGGCGCTCGTCCACAAGATCTCTTGAGGGAAAGGGGTTTATCGACAGACCTGGCAACCGTGTTGTGCGCGGAGAAACCCATGGATCATCATTTTACTCACGCCCCCCACTCAGCGTTGCGTGCACGGCGCCAAAGAAGGACAAGCCGAAGCAGACGACTAAAGCTGTGGGTAACACATTCGGCATTTCTGTCGGACGCCAAGTGTTTGTGTTGGATTATCACAGGCATTCGTGCGGTGCGTGGCAATGATTGAAGAGGTAGACTTCGTTGCTTTGTCTCACTGGGTATTCAATGTGTTCTTGCCTCTTTCGGGATGCGCAATAGATCACCTCGACATGTGTTTTCATGAAGTGAAAGCGCGCGCCAGTAGCGCCGAGAGCACCCCGAACCAAGACGCGTCAGGCTCGGCAGCCATTGGTGGCGCAGTGCCGAGCGCTAGCCAGGATGCCTGCGGAAACGATCTATACACCACCGCCGTGCCTGGCCAGGGCCATCCTGGACCCTGGCATGCTGCATGCGCCCTCCTGGCGAGGCCAGGGGGGGTCTATGCGCCATTCTGGGGCCCAGGATGGCCTTGGCCAGGCGC